GGCCTCCAGTCACTGCAGGTATATAGCTGTATACCGGGTGATAGGTTTGTGATTTGGGGTGAAGGATCGGGGGAGGGGGGGAGGTAGATGTCAGCCCCTCTGCCCGGGTTCTGTCCTCTTCTTCAGCCTCCATTTTACAGCACCAAGATGACTCCGTCCATTTTATCAGCACACTGAGATGGTAATGCAGGAAGAACGTCAACTCCCTCCGAGCTGAGCCCACCGTCACACATCGCCGGAGAGCTCATGAGACGACGACGATTGTACATACACACACAGATCCGGGCACTGGTCGGTGGGGGGGAGGAAGGTACGGGGTTTTGGTGGGCTAATGCACACGACAAAATGTCTGAATTTAAAGCACATTCTCAAATTCTCAACAGACGAGACACAACTGGGGTGCTCAAGGAGGTCATGGGCAGTGGGGCGTCTCTGCCTTTGTGGACTAGTTCCATGATGTGATTGGGGGAAGGGGGGTCACCTGTTGAATACGATTCTTCTGGTCCAGGCTTCTCTCTGGGCCCGATTCATCAAGCTGCGATATCAGGTACTATAAGGCATGCTAAAGTGACTTAGGAGAAATAAATCAAGGCCACTGCACTTGCTCTATTCTTCTTGAAGACGTTTTGCGGGTCATCAGACTAGCTTCTGAATTTCAGGCCATTTCTGAATTGAGAAAGCTGGTCGGAAAGGCCAGCGAAACATCTTCAAGAAAAATACAGTAAGTCCAGTTGCCCTGATTTATTTTTTACATATATACTATGATCCGGATGAAGGAGAACCGTCACTGACTTAGGAGAACATTGGTGAAGGGCCCATTTTAACATAGCTTGAGTACTTGTGCTTGTGTTGCAGCTTGATGAATCAGGCCCGGAGTACCTGTAACGTGTTTTCAATGTCTCACCTTCTACTTATGATGAATACATTTAACGCACGTTATCTTATCCCAAAAAAACGTCAGCAGTCCCAGGAGTGGCGGAGCAGTCTCATTCAATGGCAGCGTGACCTCACTCAGCAAGAGAAGCGTCTCATTCATTGTAACATCAGATAACCTCATGTGCAGCATGACCCTCATCCTGTGCGGCTGACACCATTTACACCCCAAAATTCACATCCTTCTGTCCTTTCCATCAGTAACATTGGAATGCAAGCTCCAGCCACAAAAAAGGTTTCCCC